TGAAGAGGAAAACAAATTGAGCTGAGCCTGGAAAGAATGTTGGTGAAATTGGAAAAACACTTGCTGGGAACTGTGGGGGAAGTGACCTCTCTGGTAATCGCCCGGGTCCCCCGGCCGGGCTGGGCCCTGCCCCAGCTCTAGTTGCAGCAATAATTACAGAGATGGCAGGTTGAGTGGGGGGTAGGTTGCACCGCCAGGCAGCAGGGAACGCCACTCTGCCTGTAACGCAAGCTGAACACACCCCACAGCGAAGGCAAATGTTAAGCACTGGTAATAGAAAATGTATCACAGCTGCTTCTTGGAAAACAGTACAATGGATTTATTCATTCTGCTTAAATGGATGAGGGTAGGAGGAGGTTGAGTATAGACAACCCCTCAGAAGAGGTAATGAAAGAAACTTCTATCAATGCCCAAAGGCCAAGGGCAAAACATCTAAGCTGTCCCCTCCCAGGATGCACCGGGACCAACTTGACTGAGAAAGGCAGGGTACCCAGGGAGGAAGGGCCCAGCCTGGCATCGTGCGTCACTGCTGGGACAGGTGTCACCCATCAGAGGAGCTGCGGGTCTGGATCATTTCATTTTCCCTTTTCACCCGGAACCTGATTACAAAATAAAACGCAAGGCCACCAGGCTCACGGAGAGTGGACTATGGATGCACTCCCCAGCCACACTAGCCAGACTGCCCGGCTCCCTGCGCTGTTTTTCCACATACTCATAGATGGGGAGAAAAACAGTACCTAGCCCCCCTCTCCCAAGAAATACCAAGTGCACAGGTTCATTCTGCCTCACACCTCCCCAAGAAATAACAAGTGCACAGGTTCATTCTGCCTCACACCTCCCCAAGAAATAACAAGTGCACAGGTTCATTCTGCCTCATCACCCGGTGCTCTTATTTTTGATCCTTATAAAACATTCTATTTTAGACTGCTAGAGATCAAACCCAGGGCCTCGCAGGTGTTACACGAGTGTTCTAACAGAGACGTGTCCCCAGCCCTGGTAGTTACAAAGCACAGCAGCTGATGTGAAATGTGAAACAAGAGGATCAAAACCTTGACAGAATATGAACACGTAGTGCTCTGACTTTTGTTGGATGGGTTTCTGTTGCGTGCTATCAAGGCAATAAAAGGCCCAAGTGAGACTCATCAAAGGGAGAAGATCAGATTTCCAGCACTGAACTCTTTTCCTCCTTGGTGGTACTAGAGCGTGAACTCAGGATACCCATGCTTGCTGGGCAGATGCTCTACCACTTGAGCCATACTTCCAGCCCTCTAACAGTGCATTCTTCCTAGAACTGTTGAGAAACATACCAGACAAGTTGGGAATGTTGGCTGAAATGACTATCTGAATCCAGCCCTGGGTACACAGAGCCTGGAGCCCCGCCTTGGGGTCTGTCCTGAGCCCAGCACACAAACGCTACAAACAGGGGTCGCGCTTGTCCTCTTCCCTTGAGACTTGAATACAACAGGCACTTCTGCTACCCACTCTTCGTCCAGGTCTCATAGAGCCTTCAAATAATCCCCAGTTCCAGAACTGCACACAGAGAGAAGTACCAGGCCTGAGACGGAGGGGCACATGGGGAGAGATGCAGAGAACAAGATGGTAGCTTTCCCAGGTCTCCAAGGTGACCCTCCACGGTTCAGTTAGTGATGGATAGCCAAGTCACACTCTGGCAACTGATCGTGTAAAATCCCCAGGAAATAGCCGGCACTCCAGGGGACTTCCCTATCATGGAAGCGTTCAGTGGGTGCTTTTGTAAGCAATGAACTCCTCCCGAATCACAATGCCAATTCTACCTAGTAAGGGGGGGAAATTTCCTTGTAAGGCTCACACTTGTCGGGACTGAGAGCACAGGATCCAAGGCCACAGTCTCCTGTCCTGTCAACACGGGTTAAAGCAAACAATTCCTGAGCTAATTGTGAATTACTTGTTGACTATTCGAAGTCTTAAGACTTCCCCACTATGTACAAAATCCTTCAAAATTTTTTTCTTTCAGTAACTAAGTTGAAGTTGACACCTGACAAAATAAGCCTAAGCAATGTTATCAATGCTCCTAGGAATAGAAATAAACTACATAAAACTAATCTAATCTGTCACGACATTTCACAACTGTGCCAACAAGATCAGAAAAGCAACGCAGTAGCAGGTAGACTTCTTGGCTCATTCTGAGGACGGCTTACGGCAACTGTGAACCCAGCCTCTGAAAGCAGCATTACTTTATAAGGCTTTCTTGTAAGTCGAAAGGCTGGGTAACTGTCCAGCAGTCTTCCGGCAAAGCCTAAATATTTGCATGACAAGCGATGTTGACAATCAACCTCAGTTTTGCTTCTTATTTATGTGAAAGGATTTTATGGTGGCCAAATACTTTCATTTTCTTTGACAGTCTTGAACTGGCTCTACCACTTGAACCCAAGCATCCAGCCTTGACTTGTCATTTTGGAGATGGAGTCGCACAAACTTTTCTGGCAGGACTGACCTTGAACGTTGGTCTTCCTGACCTCACTCCTGAGTAGCTAGGATTATAGGCGTGAGCTACCAGTGCTCAGCTTTGTTTTGTTTGTGTACATATAATTGATAGCACAATTTTGGAAAAATCGATACAAGCTAGGTACTTTCCTCCTGAGGCCCAGGCCTTCCTAAGTAGACCAGGAGAGGAACATGGAGAACCGAGGGAATCTGCCTTGTCTAGAAAGAGGGAGAACACCACCCGCGTTCGGCACATTACTCAGTCTCACAGAAGAGTGTCCACGCGGCCAAATGTAAGCCACTCACTGTAGGCAGACATGTGGCACAATCACAGCTGAGCAAGCTGTGAATCGGATCCTGTGGGAGACCTCCTGCCACACCAGCTGGGGCTCACAGCATCACACAAAGCCATTCTTTAGAGGAACATGGGACATACCACCGGGGGCCCTGGACACCGCCGACTCTGCCGCGCATGAGAGTGAGCATGTGCGTGCTCCGGCAGCAGAGCCGTGCCGTGCCCATGCCGCCGTTTTCAGGCAGAAGCAACCTGGTTCAGGAAGAACTCAGCACAGAGAACGGGGGGCTCAGCTTTAATCCATGGAACACTGAGAAGCCCTGAGCGGCCCCATCCATCCGGGTCTGGCCCTTCTGCAGACAAAGTGTGGGTCTTGAGCAAGAAGTGCTTTTTGACCCAAAGAGAAGAGCACCTATTCACACGTGTCACAAGTAAACTCCAGCGTCACAACAAATTCAAGAAAAGTCTGCTTACGGTAGAAGCACTCAGCCACAGCTCGAAAGCTTCTATCTGCCATAATTTCCAGTTGGCTACCTACCCCTAGACAGACAGACACACACACACACACACACACACACACACACACACACACACACACACATTCAGAGAGGGAGATCAGTGAGAGATTTTTCCCCCTAGTTCTACATTGTGGGTGTCTAAACTCTATTTACAGGTGCGAGGTAGATGACGGTAGCCCACTGCTACTTCTCAACGTCTTACCTGGCTTGACAACATCACTTACCCTTCTGGGTTCCCACTTGGAATCTCTCTAGCAAATGGAAAAAAAAAAATCAGCTGTCATCATGTATCTCATCTTCAGTGTATTTGCAGACAAGACCTCGTTTCCAACATCAGGCTATACAAACTGTTTTGATAACCAGCCAATGAGAGCTGCTGATCCACCACAAGAAAGGGCAAACGGGAAGGTGGAGAACAAGTTACAGCGCGGCGGGCATGCAGCCAAGCTTCAGGGTTCCAGAAGCGAGGGCAGCGAAGAGCAGCGCAGCAGCTGTCCTCATTCGCTGGGCCCTCGACTGCTGGGCAGGGGAGGCACCTGGGCCACAGGGCGCTCTCCTCTGCCTCTCCACAGGTGCAGGGGGTCTGCGCTCTGTCCTGACACCAAGTTCATCCTTGGTCCAGACCACCAGCGGAAACCAGAGTTCCCAGAAAAGAACTCAGATTTCTGAAGCTGAAGCAGGAGAGAAACATGCTTTGGGTGTCCAAAACCCTGAACAAAGGGTGCCGAGCAGCCACCCAAAGCCCTCAGCTGTGGAGGAGGAAGTTACTGAGGGTGCAGTGGACCGCGCCAGACAGCCAAGCCCAAATCCCAAGGCTACTACCACAGGCCACCTCTGGGCAGCACAAGCCCTCATACTGGGAGCAAGGAAGTCCCCACACTCGGCCAAGAGAAAGGCCAGACTGGGTAGAAGCTTCAAGTCTTACGTTCTGAAAGGAGCAGACCCCCGAGACGGCAAGCAGGCCATGATGATCCACACAGCCAGGCCTACAGACGCACTAGAAAACACACCTGCAGGGGACCTGCGGGTGCGTACCTCTTAGGAGTCACCCCCAAGGTGCCCGCTGCAGGCAATTCAACTTCAAACAACACTGTTACCAAGGAAACCGCGTGGCTTACAGCACCGTTTTCACTTCAGTTCACACATCACGCTGTACCTCAGTCACACTGACCACAGGATTCTGCCGTGTCCTGGCCAGCCCTCCCGAGGTCCTGAGGCTGCTCTCTCATGGCCTACCACAAAGGCATCTTCAGGGCCAGGCCTGCCCTCCCATCACCACCCGCCGGCCTGGCCTACTAGGAAAGGCCAGGTTAGTTTGATGACATCTTTGTCAGCCTGAACGAATCGCAGCTTAAGTGTTTCACTCCATCAGGCGGCTCTGCTCACTGCGGGGACTCACCCGGGAGTTCCCCGTGACACTCATATTCCCAGGGAGAGGGGTATCCCGTAGGGAGTGCCTTTAAAACCACACGTGGAAATAGCAGAGACAGACTACTGCCCCCACTACAGAGGGCATGATCAGAACCTCAGTGTGCCACAGCATGCGCACACACACACACACGCACACACACACGCATGCGCCGGGAGAAGACACTGGGAGCTGTGACTTCCCCAGAGCCCTGCTCAAGTCTCCACTACTCAGTGGAAAGCAAGAAAACTGGGGAGAGGGGGTAGACGCGAGCAGTCAGGTCTGCTGAGAGCAGTAACCCGAGGACCCGACTTACCACTCTTGGCTTCTGCTGGTCCAGGGTGTGCAGGAAGGCTGCGTTGGGGTCCAGGGTGCGTTCGGGGTCACTGGAGATGTCCTCCTCTGAGTCCTCATAGGAGGAGGAGAAGCCGGTGGAGGAGGCAGAGGAAGAGGACAGCTTCCTCAGGGGCAGGCTGCCGCGGGAGCTCCCCTGGGGCTCCTCCAAGGCGCCGTCCTCCTGGGCGCCCAGGTCGGTGATGATGACGGCGGGGATGGCAGGGAGGCCGCCGCTGTCTCTGGGGGACGTCGTGTCCCGGTCCCCGGCCTCTCGGTCACGCGCAGGGCTTTCCCAAGTGTCCGCACTCGGCCCTGTGCCGCACGTCCAGGCCGGGCCGGTGTCCTCCGCGGGGCCCAGCACCGCCCCGGGGCTCAGAGGCGCGGGAAGGCACGGGGGTGGCTGCCGCACAGGGTCCGCTGCGGCCCGGCAGGGCAGAGGCTCGGGCATCCTGCCACAAGGGCTTCCTGCGGCCACCGCCTCGCTGCCCCCGAGCAGGCCGGGGGCCGGGGCTCCGCTGCCGGCCTTCCCGGGACGGGCGGCGCCCGCGTCCTCCCGCGGCCCGGGCCGGCTCGGGGCCTCGGACGGCGCGGGGCTCTGCGGGTTCGCGGCCTCTCCGCCCGCCACTGTCCAGCCCGCTCCGCCCCGGTCTAAGGAGGGCGCGCGGGGGGCCCGTCCTCCCGCGGGGGCCGTCGGGGCCTCCGGGCACGGCTCGCCCCAGGACCGGGTCCTCCGCTCCTCGGCGGGGGCGCCGGGCTCCGGGCCGCGGCCGGGGGGCTGGCTGCGGCTGCGGAGCGGGCTCGGGGAGGGCGAGCGCGCCCGGCCGGCGCGCGGGCTCCGGGGCGCCGCGCCCGCCGCCTGGATGTGCGCCTCGAACAGGCCCACGGCGCGGCCCACCCGCACGTGCTGCAGCTCGCGCTGCAGCACCCGCAGCTTCCGCCGGGCCTCCTCGGCCCCCGGCGGCAGCGGGTCGCCCCGCGCGCCGCCGGCCCAGCCCGCGCCTCTCGGCCTGCGCCGGGCGCCGCGCCAGCCCGCGGGGCTCGAGGGCTCCCCGGGCGGCCGCGCCGGGCCGGGGGGGAAGAGGAACGCGGAGCCTCTCCCGGGGCCGGCGGGCGGCGGGGCGGCGGCGCGGGCGCCGGGCCCCGGGCCGCCGCCCTGGCCCTGGTCCGCGCTGTTCATGACCACCAGGCTGCTGAGCGCGCAGCAGCACACGGCCATAGTAGTGGGGCGCGGCGCCGCCCGCCGCCCGCCGCCCGCCTCAGGCCGCCCGGGGCGGAGCGGGGCCCGGGCCGGCCGGGGGCGCCGCGCGCGCGGGCCCCGTCCGGAGCTCCATGAACGGCCGCGGCGCGCTGTGGAGACACAAGGAGGGAGAGGCGTCAGGACCCGGCCTGCGGGGCCGCGGGGCCGCGCGCCCGCCTCCGCCCGGCTCCGCCCTCGGGGACGCCCCGGGACCCTCGGCCGGCGCCGCCTTCCCCGGGCGCCGGCTCGCCCGCCCCACACCCGGGAGGCTGAGCGGTCGGGCCCTGCCGTGGCCCCACAGCGATGTGTGCACACGCGTGCGCGTCTGTACACGTGCGCACGCCCTGTGCAGTCTGCGTGTGTGCAGCCCGTGTACGTGTGTGCAGCTCGTGTGCGTGCGCGTGTGCAGCTCGTGTGCATGTGTGCAGCCCGTGTGCGTGTGTGTGTGCGTGTGCAGCCCGTGTGCGTGTGTGCAGCCCGTGTGTGTGTGTGTGCAGCCCGTGCGCGTGTGTGCAGCCCGTGTGCGTGTGTGTGTGCAGCCCGTGCGCGTGTGTGCAGCCCGTGCGCGTGTGTGTGAGTGCGTGCAGCCCGTGCGCGTGTGTACAGCCCGTGTGCGTGTGTGCGCGTGTGTGCAGCCCGTGCGCGTGTGTACAGCCCGTGCGCGTGTGTACAGCCCGTGTGCGTGTGTGTGAGTGTGTGCAGACCGTGCGCGTGTGTGCAGCCCGTGTGCGTGTGTGCGCGTGTGTGCAGCCCGTGTACATGTGTGCGCGTGTGTGCAGCCCGTGTGCGTGTGTGCAACCCGTGTACGTGTGTGCAGCTCGTGTGCGTGTGTGCAGCTCGTGTGCGTGTGTGCAGCCCGTGTGCGCGTCTGTACCGTCTCCCGTGTCCGTGCGTGTCCGTGCGCTCGCCCGGGGTCTGTGTGTCTGTACGAGCGCCCCCGCCCGCGCCGCGCAGTCCCGGCCCGCGGCGGCCCAGGTGCGCCGGCCGGGGATCCGCAGCCTCCCCGGGCCGGGGCCGGGGCCCGGGCCGAGCCGCTGCCGAGCGCCCGGAAGGCGGAGGAGAACCGCCCGAGCTGCCCCGCCGCCCGCCGCCCGAGGAGGAACCCGCGGCCCGGGCGCGGTCCGCGGACCCCGGCGCCCCGCGCGGGGCCGGGCCGAGCTTACCCGCGAGGTCCCCGGCTCCGGATCCGCGGCTACATCCCCAGGCGCGGGGCTCGGAGGACCGGATGGCCGAGCTGGAGCGGGAAGGCGGCGGGCTGCCCGGGAGCGGAAAGGAGGGCGCGGGGAGGAGGGGGCCGGGCAGGGGGCCGGGGCGGCGGGCAGGGGGCCGGGGAGGCCGGACGCCGCTCGCCCGCGTCCGCTCGGCTCGGCGCGGGGGGTCGGTTCGGAGCGCGGCGGGCGGCGGCGGCGGCGGCGGGAGGGGCGGGAGGGGCGGGCAGGAAGGAAGTCCGCGCGGCGGTGAACTCAGCGGAACAAGTTTTTCTTTTCTTCTTTTTTTTACTTCTGCTGCTTGGCGAGAGCGGGGCGGGCGGCTGAAGTTTCCATTGTTCCCGACGGCGCGGCCGGCCTCGCCCCTGCCCGACGGCGGCCCCACCGCGGCAGAGGGGCCTCGCCCCTGCCCGACGGCCTCGCCCCTGCCGGACGAGGGCCTCGCCCCTGCCCGACGAGGGCCTCGCCCCTGCCCGACGGCCTCGCCCCTGCCGGACGAGGGCCTCGCCCCTGCCCGACGAGGGCCTCGCCCCTGCCCGACGGCGGCGCCCCTCCACCTCGGCCAGGGCTGGCAGCGGGCGGCCGGGATGAGCTAGAAACGTCCTGAAAACCGAACACCTAGCTCTGAGTGCCAAACAAAACAGTGCACGGAACCTTTTTAGGCCTTCAGAGTGGGTTCAATCCTGTCCTAAGACAGTGCGCCTCCCAGAGCCGCAGATCAAAGGCACCTGGCGGCCCCTCCGGCCGCGCGACCTGGGGTGTGGTAGCCGAGCCGGCCGGCAGGCTGGAGGTGTGCTGGGTGTGCAACACGCTTAGTGTGCGCATCGCACACGCACACAGCGGTGGAGGCACTGGCATGCTGCTGCATTTGCGACCCAGCATGGCCGGGCAGTGTGTGGAGCCGCCTCGCTGCCCCCCCCCCCAGGCAGGCTGTTTCTCAGGAACACCAACGTGACCAGGGGATCACACCCCGCTTTAAGCCTTGGCACTGCAAGTATGTTTTGCATAGCTCGCTGCTCTTAAACTACAGCATTTAGTGGAAGTAGGGCAAACAGCTGCCAGGCTCAGGAGACTTAAAACTCCAGAGCCTGAGTCAGTGCCCATGTCCCGACCAGCTAAAACTAGAGGAAAAGTGTGACTTTGCCTGTAGCACACGGATCTCTTGGTCGCTTGTGTAGCCATGCTGTGTAAGCAAGCAAAGCAGGCCTTCTCAGTCCAGAAACTTCTCATGGAAAATGCAAATCTGGAACAAGAGATCTTCTAGCCAGAAATTCCTGGGAATCAGATACTGGCAACTCCTTTCTCATTTTCTTAAAACATGCCATGAAAAGGTTGTATTTAATCTCTGCCACCTCCCCCCCACCCCCACACACAGAGTACCCTTCTCCCTCTCAGTGAGGCTGAATACAAGAGCCCAGAGTGGATTCAGGCTTTAAACTAAGGCTAAGAAATCAGCCCAGTCCAGGCCCCACTTTGATTCCCTAGTGGCAAAAAAGAGAAACTGCCGGACCCCACCAGACTCTGGAGCTCCTCTGACAGGTGTGGTCCCCGGAAATGCCAATGCCAGTGTCACCTAGAAGCAGATAAAGAACCTACTGGTAGGCACCTGACCTCAGAAGCTCAGCTCCGGCCTCCCCCGTCCCCCCCCCCCAAGCTGTTTGCCGGCCTGTCACCTGGCAGCCAGCCCCCCCCCCCAACAGAGGCAGATGTGACCTCAGAAGGGACTGCTGTCTTTGTATGCAGGTAGGCCTAGGTGAGAAATCATTTTACTAGTGTGAAATTTTAATTGTGGCCAAGAGCAGCAGAGGTTGAGGGAAAGAGATCAAAGCTAATGCTGGGAGTCAGCATGCCGGGCTGTCACGGTGCCACAGAATCTAGTTGCTTCCAGAATGGCAAAATTGTAGAAATTTTACCTAGCATTTGTTATTGGCCAGACACTATCTTAGGTGCATTATAAATATCCATCTTGTCCTCTTCACAATCCTCCCAGGGAGGGTTTACGAGCCCCATTTTCTAGAGGAAGAAATTGAAGTCCAGAGAGGCCCCTGGCATGCGCTGGGTAACACCAGTGCAGTCTGGAGACAGAGTCCATGCTGGTCACTCTTTGTCTCGGGCTGCTTTCCCGCACCGTGCGGAGGTTTGCCAGACAGAACTGCGAAGATCGAGGCTATGAATCCAAGAATACAGGCCAGACTGGACAAGCACAGCTCCGGCAAGTGGTGGCGGCTCCTCCTTAGCGGTGGGGAACGGAGGGCTTGCCCTCTGCCCGGGGACAAGGGCAGGATGTCTGCTGTGGACATTCATTCAGTGTCGTATTTGAAGTGCTAGCCGGTGACAAGACAAGCAAAAGAAGTCACAGATATCCAAATTGAAAGTGAAGAAGTAAAATCATCATCATTTAAACGATATGATTGTCTCTGGAAAATACTATCTTTAAAAAGCTACTAGAAGCTACTAGAAGTCATCAGTAATTTTATTTTATTATTATTTTTGGGGGGGTCCGGTCGTGGGGCCTGAACTCTGGGCCTGGGCGCTGTCCCTCAGCTCTTCAGCTCAAGGCTAGTGCTCTACCACTTGAGCCACAGCACCACTTCCGGCTTTTTTTTCTTTTTGCTTATGTGGTGCTGAGGAATCGAACCCAGGGCCTCAGGCATGCAAGGTAAGCACTCTACCACTGAGCTACCTTCCCAGCCCTCATCAGTAATTTTAATAAGTGTTATTTTTTTCCTAGAGTTGCCATAGGAAACTATACAACCTGATTAACTTTTAAAAACTAAATTTCTGGGCTGGGAAGGTGGCTCAGTAGTACCCAAGGCCTTACAAATGCCTGGTAAAAAGCAGGGCATCAGTGGCTCACACCTGTAATCCTAACTACTCAGGAGCCTGAGATCTGAGGATCACAGTTCAAAGCCAGCACAGGCAAGAAAGTATGCAAGACTCTTATCTTCAATAAACCACCAGAAAAACTGAAAGTGGCGCTGTGGCTCAAGAGGTAGAGCACTAGCCTTTAGCTGAAGAGCTGAGGGACAGCGCCCAGGCCCAGAGTTCAAGCCCACAACCAACAACAGCAACCAAAAGAGAGGAGGAGGAAGAGGAGGAGGAGGAAGGAGAAAGGAGGAAGAGGAGGAGGAAGGAGAAAGGAGGAAGAGGAGGAGGAGGAGGAAGAAGAAAGAGATTCAAATGCCTGGTAAATGCTTTCCAGAATGACTGCTGTCTCAGATGAGGCCTCTCTTTGGCCTGGGCCATCTCTTCCTAATACCTCCTGGTTCCCTTCAGTACATACCTATAATCTCTCTTCTGTGTGTTACATGTTCTAATCTATTCTTCCTGTAAGGATGCTGATCAGATGACTTAGGGTCCACTATATGACTTCATTTAAACTTAATTTCCTTTTTGGTTTTTGGTTGCCAGTCCTAGAACCGGAGCTTGAACTCAGGACCTAGATGCTGTCCCTGAACTTTTTTGCTTACGGGTGGTACTCTATCACTTGGCACACAGCTCCACCTTCAGCTCTTTGGTGGTTAATTGGAGATCAGAGTCTCACGGACTTTCCCACCTGGGTTGGCTTTGAACCACAATCCTTGGATCTCAGCCTCCTGGGTAGCTAGGATGACAGGCGTGAGCCACCAGCACTGGCTCCTGAATTACCATTTTAAAGATGCTATTTCAAAATACAGTCACATTCTGAGGTACTAGGGTGAGAATTTCTAACTCACCCCATAGCATCAAGATTACAGGATACAAAACCAATACACCAAAATTAGTTGTGTG